AATTCTGGGAGTTGAAGTCCACTCATCTTTAAGTGGCCAAGTTTGGACAACACTGCTTTAGAGAATGGTCCCCACTGTTTTGTGAGCAAAGTCAATGGCAGAGTCCCTACTTTTCATGCAGAAGGTTCCAAGTTGAAGCTGTGGCCACACTGATACAGACTTCATAGTGGAATCCTCAACAGCTGCTGTAAGTCACAAAACTGAGTTAGATGGATTAGGGTTTGAATAAAGCATTTTCTATGTTCCTACATGTGACTGAATGATATTTGTAGAAGAAAAATAGAGTGGTCTGTTGTTCTAGTCTATCCTGCAGCTCTTCCATTCCTTGGGGAAAAAACCCCCCTGCAACAATCCATAATGACTTAATTAAAATGCTGCTACTACTGCTACAATTATTCCACTCACCCATGCAAGCATGTATGGGCATTACAGCTGACAACCGCTATGTGAATAGCTACTGCTAATCAGCTATTTATTTCAGTTGCATGTCTGTACTTCTGAACTTGGTCAGAATCTCCTATTTGGATTACAACTACCAGAATTCCCAGCAAGCACGGGCCAAATCATCCCTTTGATGGTTTACAGCTTCGTCTACAGCACCAGGAGAGATCATTTAGCAGCATCTGGAACATCACATGTGCACCCATGCTCCAAAGCAAATATGAAGTACTGCAGACTTTAGATGATTGACAGCAGAATAGCGCATCTTGTATACTTATTTATTTATCAAATTTGTCACCGCCCATCTCATGAAACGACTCTGTGTGGTTTACAACATGATAAAAATTCACTAAAATACAACATAAAAACAATCCTAAAAATAAATAAATTCCGAGAAGATAGAAAAGTGGCAAATAATTCCAGGGAGCATCATCAGGGGAGTAACCACCCTCAGGGGCGGGTAGAGCCCATATCTCCCCATGCACACTGACAGAGCCAGGTCTTTAAATCTTTTCAGAAAGCAGGGAGGGTAGGGGCCCTCCACACCTCTGGGGGGAGAATACTCCAAAGGGCGGGGGCAACGGCAGAGAAGGCTGTCCTCCTGGGCCCTGCCAGCTGACATTCCCTTGCTGACGGGATCCACAACATGCCCCCTCTGCCTGACCGGGTGGGATGGGTTAATGTAATGGGGATGAGAGGGTCCCTCCTCGGGTAACCTGGACCCATGCCATGTAGGGCTTTAAAGGTGATAACCAACACCTTGAACTGGACCCAGAAGCAAGATAATCATCAAGCTATAGAAGCTTGCTTGCTTGCCTGCCTGCCTGCCTGCCTGCCTGCCTGCCTCCCTCCCTCCT